CCTTTAAGCCTAGTCGCAAGCCATTTAATGCCCCAAAAGCAGCTCCTATTTGGGTAAATCAGAACAGAATAATGTGTAAAAAGGATGATTGATCTCATGCTTGTAGTTAAAAACCAACGAATTGTTCTCCAACATTACTGTGACAGTGATGCTTTTATGAGTCACATTATAGAAACCATTGGCAATGTCACGGAGACCTGAATTAAGGCTTTTCTCAATCTTTTTTGGTTCCACTCTTGAATATTCCTTTCTCTGCCTTCAGTAACCCAAAACGTATTATTCTTAGCCGGGGCTGAATAAAAACAAATACTAAAATTTACAGTGACTCCCTAAAATATAATAAAGAATACTTGGTGAATGTGCAGTAAAATAACCTCTCCAAGCAATTTTCAGCAGCTTTTAAATTGCTTACAAAACTGTTAAAGCCAACTGGATAAAATATTTATTTAAAAAATTGAGTTGCATGCAGTACATATAATACGGTAGAGATTTTTAAACCGTGGGACAGAACACAGAGTTATTGCAAGCGAACTGTGTTGGGGTGGGGTGCAGAGGTGGTATTCAGCAGGTTCTGACCAGTTCTGGAGAACCAGTAGTGGAAATTTTGAGTAGTTCAGAGAACCTGCAAATATCATCTCTGAGTGGAGATTTTACAGTATCCTTCCTCTGCCACACCCACCAAGCCGGTAGTAAAAGAATTTGAATCCCACCATTGGTGGGGTGGGAATTACATTTCTTTTAAAAGGACAGGTTTGTGCGTGGGACAATTGTGGGACTGCAATTCCATCACATTCAAAAAGCCTTGTAACAGAGGTTAACATTTAATTATTAAAAGTGGCATGTTTCTTGCAGAACCCTATCTGAAACTATTGTCTCCAAAATGGTGATGACACAGGTCACAAGGTAGTACTTGCACCTTCCAATAATGCACACCACTGTTGAAAATGGCATCAATTAAGACGGCTGCCTTCCCACAGGACCCGAGCATCAATCAACAGAATTAAAGGGGAAAGAAAACACAATGTATTCCGAGCAAGGAACACCTTGTTAATATGGTGCCTTCTTTCGAACCTTGCTAATATAGTCATCATCCCAAGCGTGTATTGCTTGTTTTAAGGGTTAATTCAGTCTCACAAAATGGGCAGTTCATCCAATGATAAAATATAGCAAATATATTATAAAATATAAAATATAGCAAAAATATAGCAAATATAGCAACTCTTTATCTGCCCAAAGGGAACTTTGAAGAATTGGCTGATGATTTCTCTTTCTCTATTCTACTGAATAGAAACATCAATCCAACATAGTGATATCAGTTAACAAATGATGACCCACCGGTAATACAACATCCACCAATTGTAAAGAATGCCAGTTCAAATCTGCCCCTGGTTTTACTAGCTCCAGTAGGTAAAATGAATTCATCTGTATCCTGAAACAAAAACAATCCTTTTCAGCAATGCCTGCATATGAATTCCTTAGTTTCATGAAATGAAGCACATGATACTCTTTTACTAATGGAAAACTGTTAATTGTCTGTAAATAAAATAGAAGGGAAAAGAACCCCCATTTTCCTTTTGAATGTTCAGCTATTACTGAGCCCTACAAAAGCGAACAATTGTATTTCTATAGTACAAATAAACGTTACTTTCATTTCCAGCATTTAGTAAGGAGCTGTAATACGTTCTTAATCCAGTATTAGTTACTATCTACATGGATGATGTAATAAGCTGTACTAACACTGTTGCATAATACCCTCTGCTTCAGAAATTAAAGTCAACCCATAGCTGTGTAATTTGTGTATGCTTTCAGACTAGTGCTGACCAGGAGGTTGTCTGCTCAACACACTCTCAGAAAAGCACAATACTGGTAACACTGGTGTCAGGTACCTCCAGAACGGAGAAAATGACAGACAGCTAAACACACAGTATCTTTCTCTCCCAGCAGTGTAACACTGTCAAAGACACAGTTCTGACACAGACAGCTGACCACCGCTGGAATTTAGGAACAAAATATACTCAGCTCTGAGATTAGGGGTCAGGTAGACTGTAGACTGGAAAAACCCACAGGAAAAATAAAAATAAAAACCTTTCACTGAGGTTTGTTTCTCTCTAAAAAATAAAAATGGTTCATGAAAGAGTGTCCAGTATTTTCTTTTACCAAATACTTTGTGGGAGAAATGTGTTTTCACCTGAAGTCAGCCAGATGTTTTCAAGAAGTCCTCCAGTCAGAGGAGAAAGAAAACAATTCCTGACCACAATCAACTGTGTTCACCTGAGTGCCAAGTCTTCACGTACGTTTTTAGTTACCCATTTTAATCTTATTCAAAACCACTATACAGGTAGGCCTTGACTTACAACAGTGCATTTAGTGACTGTTCAAAGTTACAGCGGCACTGGAAAAAAGGAAAGTCGTAAAATGGGGCAACAAATGTTTAACTTAGCAACATAAATTTTGGGCTCAATTGTGGTTGTAACTTGAGGATTACCTTTATTATACATTAATGTACACAATCACAAACTCGATGCATTTTTTAAAAGATGATTCACAAAGAAATACACATCAAGCAATCATGGATGTCTCACCTGTATAAGGTATCTGGGGTCAACGTTTAAATACGGGGACAAGGGATTCATTCCAGTCACTGAAAGAAAAAAAAAAGGTTTAAAGTTGGAAAGTATGTCAAGCTAGCATAAAAAACAGTTCAAATGAAGAGGGCAATGCTCGACCTGGAACCGTTCATTTAGCGATTGCCTGATGTCACGACAGCGCTAAAAAAAGTGACTTACAATCACACAACTCCCACAACATCCCAAGGGCGCATGATCAAAAACTGGGCGCTTGGCAACTGGCATGTATTTACAACGTTGCCGCATCCCGGGGTCATGCGCTCCCCACCTGCCATGATCCCACCCAGCTTCCAACAAGCCCAGTGAATGGGAGGGGTCATATTCACTTAACGACCACATAATACAGTTAACTGTGGCAAGAAAGGTTGTAAAATTAGATGCAATTCACTTAACCACCACCCTGCTTGGAAATTCTGGCCCCAACTGTGGTCGTTAAGTTGAGGACTATCTGCAGTCCCTCATAGGTAGACTGAGTTTCTAAGTGTGCTTCAATTTAAATCATGGGCAGGAAGGGCCAGATCAGATTCAAAAGAATCTGCAAACAGGTTTCTTTTAATAAGAATCTATAAACATCTATGACCTGCTGTGAGTTAAAAAATAAATTTGAGCTTAAAGGCATATATGTGTGTTCATAATATTGAGGTTCTTTTTCTGGGCAGTTTCAGATTTTTACCCTAATTATGTCCTTCCTAATATCTAGGATTTGAAAAAAAAAAAAAAAAAGCTTATCAGCTAGCCATGACCCTGAATCTCTGCTTGCCAGCCTTCAATTTTTTGTAACAAATGCTGCCTAACATCAGGGACACATATTACGGACAAAATGTCCTAGATCACCTACAAATTATATCAAGCAATTCAATCAGCTTTCAATGTCAGTATGAAACCTCATTCCCCACGGTTAAGTTACAATGTCAGAGAAATCAACAACTGCCACATCCATAGTTTACACAATGACCCTGCAGTGATGCCAGTAGCCTTGCTACGGAAGCCTGATGTAGGATAGTCCACAAGAACAACACGGACACCAGCTTCTGAGCAAGTTACTCCACGCCACACGAACTCCGGACAGGTTGAAACATTTATCCTCCCAACAAATCAACAAATGATGACTGAGGTTATCTGAGCTGGTAGCAGGATCCTGCTCTGGCAGAAAAGAGTAGCAGGCTGAGATGCCCGGATTCTGGAGGTAAGCAAGGCCTGGATGAGAGACCACCAGGAGACCCCAGAGGGCTACAGAGGCCAGCCCTGCAAGCTGGAAAAAAAACACAGGCCGTCCCAAAGGGACTTTTCCCAAATGACTTTAAGGAAGAGCCATGTTGGCATCTGGAAGGGGAGCCCAGCTCCTTCCTTCCTTCTTTGGGGGTGGGGGGGAGGACCACGTGTTGTCCGGATGGGCCTTGAAACTCCCGCCCCTTTCAAGGGACCCTTCGCAGCCCTCTGGGTAAAAGGCATGGGGGGGGGGGATTCGCCCCCTCCTTCCTCGCTTCATTCGCATGAAACGCAACAGCAGCAACCCAACTAAAGGGACGGAATCCCTCCCCACTTCGGAGAGAGGCTGCGGGAAGGCCAAGTCCCCCCCCCCCCGGGTGAAATGCTTTTTGGGCAATGCTCAGAAGAGACCGAAGGGCGCCCCATTTCCCCGAAGGGGGAAACCCTTCAGCCATGCCAGGGAGCAGTCCAGGCGGCCTTGGAGACACACGGGAGGCCCTGGGCGCGCGGAGAAAGGCCGGGCCGGCCACTTCAGCCCCAGGGAGGGCAGGGGAAGGGGATGAAGGACGGGGTTCCCCCTCCGGGGCACGCGGCCCCCTCCGCTCCCCCCCCAGGAGAAGGCCTGGACCCCCCCCGCCCCCCGTTTCCTCAGTTCGCCCCACAAGTGCCCACAGGCTGCGGTGGGCTCCGCTCGGCTAGAGACTGCAGCCTCCCTTCGCCGACCGGCGTCTCTTTCGCTTCCCACCAGGGCCTTCCCTCCCCGACCCCACGCGGGGCGCAGGGGGAGAAGCGAGCGGGCCCACTCACGAGGGACGCCGGCCAGGTCGGCGTGGGAATAGCCCGGCCCTCCCACTCCTCCTCCGGCGCCGAAGAGGCCGGCGAATCCGGAGCCCTTCGAGTTCCCGGCGCCTCCCTCCATGCTGGCGACGACGGAGGGCCTCGGGCCGCCCTTGCGCTCCTTCTTCTTCTTCTCCTCAGGGCCGCGTTGCGCTTGGAGCCGCCCCTTCCGCTCCTGGAACCGGAAGAGCCCCCCCCCTTCGCCGCGCGGACGACCTCTAAGCGCGAGAAGCGTGGGGCGGCCGGCGGGGCGCGCGCTGACGTCATCCCCTCGCGCCGCCGTCCGCGTCTCGCTCCCTCCCCCTCCGTTTTTGCGACGCTCGCTTTCCGGCTCGGCGGGGAAACGAGGAAGAAACGGCAGGGAGGATGAGTCCGGTCTCCTGCGCTTCCGCCTCCTCCTCCTCCTCCTCCTCCCCCCGGGGGTGGCCTGGGTCGCCCCCCCCAGCATGAGCGCGGGGCCCGAGTGTGAACCCCCCGGGAAAAGGGCTCGCGTGGGGCCTGGCTTCTTCCCTTCCTCCGAGGCGGTGGTCGCGCAGCCGCCGCCTCCCCGCCGCCGGGAGGAAGGGCCCCCCGGACCCGGCGGCCTCTCAGCCACCGTGGGGAACAAAGGTGAGGAGCGCCCGCCCCCCACCCCTCTCGGCTGAGGGAGACGGAAAGAGGGATGGGAGGCCACCAGGAGATCCCTGCCCACGGGGGCGCCCTTCGCCGCCTGCGTCCCCCGCCCCGGCTCCTCCTGCTCCTCTTGCTGCGGTCTCTCCCTGGTTGCCCCACTGCGGAGAGGCCGGCCTGCCTGGGCTGCATCCTCTTCCCTGGGAGGAAGGCTTTGGGTCCAGCCTTCGGCCTCCTAAGCCCAGATCCCCCTGCAAGAGAGCGGGGCTGCGTTCAGCGGCAGGGGCGGCCGGGCCTCGACTTACCACCCTTTAAGTGGCCTTTGGGAGCCACGAGGACTCAGGGGGTGTGGTGGAAGTGATTGAGCGCTGTTTTTGGGGGGACCGCTGCAGCGGCATCCTTGGGAGGGGTGTTCACATTTATGACGGTCGCAGGGTCCTGGGGTCATGTGACGACCTGGCCGGCAGGAAGGCCGCAAGTCGAGGCCCCCCTGCCGCTCGGTGGGAAGGGTGGCCCTCTGTTAAATGGCATGGCCGTATCTGGATAGCACAGCTTCGGTGCTGAAGGCTTCTGAGTCACTGTGTTCCCCACCCCCACCCCACGGATGAGGCAGCCTTCCCAGTGCCAGTGAAGTATCAGAGCGGGCGTATTAATCCACAGAGGCCTGTTTTAAGACTGGCATGCCTGGGTCCAGCCTTTCCACTCCCAGTAAAACTACCGTATATTTCCTTCCAGTTTACAAGCAAAAGAGGATTACCTCTTGGATGGAGAACAGAGGAGCCAGAACTGTAGACTCTGAAAGGTAAAACAAAGCCATTTCATTTCTGCAGCAGCAGCAGCAATGGCCCCTGCCAGGTGACTCCACCAGAACTGCTGCTGGTCCTCCAGAAGGTTAGCTTTTGCTACTAGAAGAGGACTTTTGGTGAAGCATACTGTCATTAACAAAGACGTCACCAAAAAGAAGGAAGCGGGTATAAGCAGTGACACGCTAATAATAGCACACAGGGGGCCTACGTCTCACGTAGAGGGCTTTGTAAAGGAAGGGTGTTTAATCACCTTTGCTTTGGCTGGATTGCTTGCTTTATCCTTGTCATTTTTTCCTTATGACTTACGCATTGCAGTGTTTTGGACATTTTTATGAAGAAGCACTATACCTTTTGCATGTCGTTTGTGTTGTGTCTTGCGGAGCTTTTCAGCTTTTAGGAGCTGTCAGTAATCATATATTTAAAAAAAAGAAGAAGAAGAATCCTGTTCTTTGCTCTGCTCAGGAAATCAGAAGGAAGGAATACGGCTAATTCTTCAGCTCATGGCCACAACTGAGCCCAAAATTTCCTTGGCCAACCAAGACAGCTGTCAAATGATTTTTATCCCATTTTATGACCTTTTTTGGTGGTTAAGCGAATCACGCAGTTAAGCGTGTAACACAGTTGTTAAGTGAATCTGGCTTCTCCAATGACTTTGCTAATCTGAAGGTCACGAAATGTGATCCGGTGACAACACCACCATCACCAGTAGTTTCCCAAGGCACCTGGACTTTAACCAGGAGACCCTGGGGTTGCTACAGTGGTTGGAAGTGTGGCAAACAGTCGTGTCCCTCTTTTCAGAGTCGCTGCAACTTTGAACGGTCGGTAAACAAATCGCTGTAAGTCACGGGCTTCCTGTAATATAGCAAAGTATAGAAATACTTTAGAGCAGGGGTATCAAACTCAAGGCCCGCGGGCTGGATCCAGCCTGCGAGGTGCTTGGATCTGCCCCGTGGGGCCACCACCCTAGAAACAGTGAAGGACCAGCCCCCGGTGCCTCTGCCAACAGAAGCGGCTATGTGCAGCCCTCCCGGGGCTCTGGTTTTGCTGTCAGAGGGTTGCAGGAGGCCATCCCAGCCGGAAACGGAGCTGGTGAGCCCCTTTTTGCTGGCAGAGCGCTCAGGCCACCCACCCCAGGTGCCCCTGACATACATCAATATCAAGCTGGCCACGGCCAAGGTCAGCACCCGAGGTCAAACAACCCTGATACGGCCACCTACCCCCATGAAACGGAGTTTGACACCCCTGCTTTGGAAGGTCCTTCGACCTAATGATGGAATCAGGACAGAAACTGATCTTGAAAATGTAGAATGAAAGGAATGCTCAAACTTTCAAGCTCTCTGAAAGCTTTCTGATGTTCTAATTCGGAGATTGGCAACTGGCTGTCCTCCAGAAGTTGGGATACCAATTGCTAGCCGTTTCCTGGCCAGTGGAAAGGAATTGTGTCCAATGGCCTTCCCTTTCAATGTATAACGCCTTCTCCATTCTTCTTCTTCTTTTTTTTTGCAGACAAAGCAAAAGAAGCAATATGGAAGCAGAGTCCAAAATGGCCCTTGTTAAAAAAGATCATGTTTTCGACCATGATGCCAAAAAGGCCGAGGGCCTGTTCCAGCAGGGCTGCTCAAAGTTATCCGCAGAAATGAGCACCAAGCAGGGGGCTTTTCCTCCAGCTGAGGGCCCCTGTAGGGAGAAGCTATCCGAAGCCAAGGCTCTGAAACAAAGGCAGGCAAGTGAGCCCTTGAAGAACGCGAACGTTCACCAGGTGTACAAAACCGGTGCTCGGGCTTATCGAGCCGGTCCTGAAATCGGGGAGAACTGTCCCGCCAGGAAGCTTTCGCTAGGCAGCCCCACCAAGATGCCAAATCTAAAGCAGGCTTCCAAAGAGTGGGATCCTGCAAGGGAAGCCCCTCTGCAGAGTCCACAGCCATTGAAAAATTGCAGCTTTGAGGATCCGATAGGTGTTAAGGCTGAGCTGGACGAGGCAGACTTGATCCCGGAGAGCCCACTTTCCGACGGAGGCTGTCCGGCGACGTCTTCCAATCCTTACGGCTTTCGGGACAGAGATCAGGAGCGTTTAAGGGAGTCGCCCTCTTTTGAGAAGGAGAGTGAGCCCGAATCGCCGATGGACGTAGATAACTCCAAGAACAGCTGCCAGGGCTCAGAGGCTGATGAGGAAAGCCCCCTTCTCGAGGACCACGGAGATCTCAGTGTGTTGGAAGGACCAGGCAACTCTGCCCAGTTCCGGAGGACAGAGACTGACCCGGATTCCAGAAAGCTGGCTCCCCTGAAAAGCGAAGGGCCCCGATTGAGCCTCAACGCCGAAGGAGTGGACAATCCCTGGAAAGATACTGAAATGCACGCAGAAGTATCGGGACCCTCACCTCACCTGGCATCGGAGGGCAGAAGTGCCAAGCACGGGGGAAGGAAGGACTCTAAAATGACCGCCCACTTCCCACGGGTCCATAGAGGGGATGAGAAAAGGTATTTTTGGTCCCCCCCCCTTTAATTTGTGATTACCATGAGCTGCTTTTGAGTTGTGACAGAAGAAAATAGACGCAGGTACTTCAGTGTGGCAAAATCACTGGGTGTCACAAGGACCAGGACAAGAGGTTTTGGGACGGTGCAAAACTCGGGAGTTTTTAAAAGTTTTTTTCCATTGTTCCATTATTTCCATTTCATCGGTCCAAATGTTGAATAAAAAACAATATTTTCTGGATTCCCCTCCCAAATTTAGGACCAAATGAGAGATTTAGTTTTTCTTTGGTGCTAATATTTTTTTGGGGAAAAAAAAGCCCAATCAGGTGATCCACAATGCTTACGAAAGAATACCTGAAGTTGCAATTGGGAAGTAGGCATTTAATATCATAATAATAAAGGAAGAATCGTGTGTTTTTCTGAATTGGATTGCTTATAAGGATCAGATTCACTAATACCAAAAGTGCTGCTGTTTTGCTATTGAGCCATTGGAAAGCCAGTTCGTTTGACGTGTTAGTTGACGGTACTAAATACAGCTAGTCTATACATATGACCACGATTGGGCCCAACATTTCTGTTGCTAAGCAAGACAGCTGTTAAGTGGTTTTTGCCCTGTGTTAACGACCTTTCTTGCTTGTTAAGAGAACCACTGCAGTTGTTAGTAACGTGGTTGTTAAGGGAATCTGGCTTCCCCAATTGACTTAGCTTGTCAGGAGGTTGCAGAAGGGGATCAGGTGACCTTGGGAACGCTGCAGCGGTCATAAACACAAGTCAGTTGCCGAGCGTCTGAATTTGGATCACATGGCCATGGGGAGGCTGCAACAATCATAAATGTGAAAACTTGCCATAGGCCTTTTTTTTTTTAGTGCTACTGTAACTTCGAACCATCATTGTACAAATTGTTGTAAGTTGCGGACTCCCTGTATTTTATCCTTCTTGGTTTTAGTTCTTATGACGGCCCTGTTTGTTGCCAATTGTTTTTGTTTGCACAATGAACATTTTAATCTTTCAGTGACAGGAGTGAGCATCGCCCAGGAAGGAAGCATTGTAGATACACCCCTCCCTCTCTCCCAACTAACAAAAAGTGGCTTGGGACCCCAGTTGAAGAGATGCGAAGAATGCCGGCCTGTGGGCTCCGTCTTCCTCCCTTGAGACCATCGGCCAATCATACGGTTACAATCAGAGTATGACATTTCCTTTACTAGCAAATTTTTCTTCCAGGGTGACCCTGGAGGCACGCTCTTCCAACACCTCTTGGCATTTTATAGGTTGAGGAAGTACTTAGAGTGCTACATCCTGACTCCCGCAAACTCTGGATCTCAGAAAGAGAGACAATTGGGAGTGAATGGCATGTTTCATCCCAACGCAGGTATAAAGAGGTTTGGTGCCGCTCTTGTGTTCAAAGAAAACTAAGGAGATTTCCTCTTCCAAACTATCACTTGTTCACACAAAGGTGATTTTTTTTTTCAAGAGGCAGCTGGACTTCCTTGTTTTTTCTTTGAAGACGTTCAGCTTCTCATTCGAGAAGCTTCTTCATCTCTGACTGTATGGTGGGGAATGGAAGGATTTATACTCCTTGCAGACAGCTGGTCATTTGCATTCTTTTTAGAGAGCCAGTTGACGCCGCCTGGAAGTTTATCTGTGTCCTCGGGGTCACTTGAGCAGCACAAATGGGTGTGGGGCCTTCTTGGAACTATTGAAAGGAGTATAAACCAGAAAATTCAGTTGCCTCTTGAAAAAAGCACCTTTTGGGACAATCATGACCCGGATGACCGAGAATCTATAGACATCTGTTCCCACACTTCACCATTTGTCTGCTCAAGATTTTCCACCTTTAGGTAGGAAGCCATTGGGAGCCAGGGTGGAGAAGGAAGGAAGGAAATCTTTTGTTTCGTATCAGGTGCACACATCGCAAGCAGATTTTTTTGAGATGAAGTGTTGAGACTCCAATAAATATACATTGCTAGCTAATTCTTGATATTTCTAAGGCAATATGATGTGTTCTTTTCCCGTATTTTATTACAGCAACTTGGTGCAACTTCATTGAGAAAGAGAGAAAATCAAGCAATATCTGTTTGATGCAAAACAAGCATAGGTTGCATCGTTTGAAGTAAAGCATTAGATATAATTACAGACACTCACCGTAAATCCATATCAAATAAATATATTTATGTAAATATATGTAAATTTATTCAGGCTCAAAGTCTGTGAAAATGTGAATGGTACCTAAAATACCAAAGTAACACAGCTAAAAGCCAGATTTGTACACAAAGTAAGGAGGTCTTTTTGGGAACAGAAGTGTTGCCTGAGTCAGAGGAGGCCCCTGTAGATCAGTGATTCCCAACTGGAGCAGTTTTCAAAACGGGTGGGCTTCGACTAGCAGAGGAATTCTCGGAGTTGAAGTCCACACACCTTAAAAGTTGCTAAGGCTGAGAAACACCGGGATTACAACAGGGGATCCCGTCTCTCTCTCTCTCTCTCTCTCTCACACACACACACACAGGGACATCGCACCCATCACAAGTATATTTGGGTATATTTGGTGGTTGCAAAAGCCTTGAAGTGTTGCTATTGCGGATTTTCAGCTTCTGTTTTTCAGCCTGTCTTCTGTGTTGCAGGTAGATCTTCTGAAGGCAGGAGAAGTACCTAAACCTTTCCCGACCCATTATAAGGATTCGTGGGACAATAAACATGTGAAAATGCCTTGCTCAGAACAGAATTTATATCCTATAGAGGATGAGGTGAGGCAACATTACTACTTAAGCAACAGGATCCTCTGTGACTTTTAGCTATGCTCTAAGTGCCTTTTACAATCTTGGTCTTACTGGATGATCACATTTGTCGGCCGATGGTTTCTGATGTGTAGGATGCGTTGTCAGTAATCAATATACCGTATAACGTCCGTGGCAGCTCTTTTGCTGTTTATAACGAGTAAAACTTTTGTAAGAATGACAGTAACATTTCCATAAGCAAATAATTCCATGATGTACCAACCGGCGGTTCCAGCTTGTTCCACCTTCACAAGCAAACCATGAACGTTAATTTTTTAAGTAAAGCTCAGTATTGGGTGAGTGGAGCTGCTGGATACCTCGGGACTCGGTGTTACCCGGTTCCAGGAGGTGCCAGCGATGGGGAGTCCCAAACAGTTCCACCTAGGGAGCCACCTAGTTCCACCTAGGGAGCCACGCAGGGAGTCACAGGAACCGCTGACAATGGCCAAGTTCTGGCTTGTGTGCGCTGAGAACCAGGCAGGATTGGACTGAAGAGCAGCTCTTGAAAAGCGCCGTTGTGTTCGGGACTGCCAAATCACCCGTGATGGGCTTAGGAAGCCGGGACAGTCAGCACCAACCCTCTGGGCTGGTTACGTTTAGAGGCAGTCCTCGACTTAGGACCACAGTGGAGCCCAACATCTCTGTTGCTAAGAGAGACATCTGTTAAATGAGTTTTGCCCCATTTTAGGACTCTTTCTGGCCAGAGTTCTTAAGTGAATCCCTGCAGTTATGAAGAGTTAGTGCCGCGGTTGCAAAATGATTCTGGCTTCCCTACTGGCTTGGTCAGAAAATCACAACAGGGGATCCCGTCTCTTTCTCTCTCTCTCTCTCTCTCTCTCTCTCTCTCTCTCTCACACACACACACACACACACACACACACACACACACACACGGACATCGCACCCATCACAAGTGCCTGCCAGTTGCCTCTGAATCCGGATCGCGTGACCCAGAGCTGGATGCTGCAGGCGCCGTGAGCCCGGAAAGCGGCCACGGGTCCCTTTTCTCAGGTCCGCCGTAACTCCGGACAGCCACAAAACAAACGAGGGCTGCCTGGGCTCTGGCTGTGTTTCAGGGCCCAGAGACTTTGAAGCCAAAGAGTCATTTGAGAGGCTGTTTGCCTCTGGGGAGGATCACCTTCTGGGGCTCGGGGCCTGGTGGGTTCTGTCCACCCTCAGATCAGTTGGACTGACAGCCAAAACAACACACACACACACCCCGGAGCTTTCTTATTCAAAGGAAATTCCACATCCCCCCCAATTCCTTCCCAAGGGATTGAGGGCCACGTGACTGCAACCGTTTCCCCCCCCCTCCTGTACCTGCTGCATGTTTGCATGTCTTACGTTCATCTTACTCTCTCTCTCATTGGGCGCGTTGGTCTAAAAATCAGTTTATGATTCATTGGGATGAAGTTGGTGTTGGACTTTGAAGGACGGGGTAGGGATTCGTAATTATGAGGGTTTTTAAGGGTTTCATTCTAAGACTTCGAAGAATATCAGGCGTGTGGGAAATCTGTGTCCTGCAAACCTTTTTTTAATCTCTCTGGGTGGCCATAAAATCATGTTTCTAGTAGAAAACGTGATGCTAAATTATATTACTACTGCAAACTAGTTGGGGGTGGGGTGGGGTGGCAAGGTTGATTACTATATGCAATATTCTTAAATTTTAAGTAAACGCTTCATGCTTCCTTCTGAATAGCAACACAGTTGTATGTTTGGTTAATGCTTTATAAATTACACGCACAATTTTGTTAGTTCCCATTGGAGAGTAAACCTTAAGACATTGAATGGTTTTAATATGATATACAAATATTTGTTCTCTATAAAGAACGGTGACAGGACTGCCGGGAGCCGATGGGAATTAATACAGACTTCACTTCTCAAGAAATTCACATGTTCCCGAGATTTGAAGGTAAAAGACTTTTCAGTTACTCAACCATCAAATTTTGGACCAGGGTTTTCATTGCTAAGCCACGGAATTAGCTGTTTTACAGGGCTGGGTTTTTTTTGTTTTTTGTTTTGTTTGCCATGGCCGTTAAGAGAGTCACTGCCGTTAAGGGAGTCTGTCATGCAGCAGATCTGCTTCCTCCGTTTGCTTGTCAGAAGCCCGTTGGGAGGCAGTGATCCTCCTACATGGGCTCAGACTTGATTGATAGCTAGCAGACCCTTTGCTAGAGACCAGGCTGTGACGGCCTCATCACCCACCATTGTTGTTGTTGTCGTTATTAATTTTATTGACCAGCCACCTTACCACAAAGTGACTCTGCACACATTAGCTCAAACAGAGATTGGATTTCTTGTGGTCAAAGATTTCGCTATTCATAGCTATGGCTTCTGCACCCACACGGTGGTGGCTGATGTAATGAAGCCCCTCCCCCCACTTCATCTGGGCTTGCCCTTCCCCAGGCCAGCGGGGGGGGGGTGTAAAAAAAATGAATCTGAACCCTGGAACTGATCCCCGAGGATCCCCGTCTCAGTGCTGCTTCTTCTAAGCTGTCACCCGATGCATCGAAATAACTGGCTGGCCGGCCTTAATGGGACAGAGTTGCTGGTGGGGGGGGTGGAGGAGTTGGGGGGCTGACTCAAGAGCTTGATAAAGCGGAGCTCAGGTGGATGAATGTCCGGCAATATGGCCAGATTCCCTAGCATGAAAAATGGCCCCCAGAGATTCATGGTTGAGTTGGGTAGCTGAAGAACAGCAGAGGAATGAGGAGAGAATAGAGAACGGAACAAACCACTTTATTGTCCCGTTGAATGTACACTAATTGGCATACACTAAAAACAAATTTTGTTGCCTGCAGCTCTTCAAGGGTCACCACCTCCAATTTTACACTACATAACCCTGACAAGATACCCTGTTTCTCCAACAATACGGCCTCCCCCAATAGGAAGTCCCAGCATGTTTTATAGGCATGAAATGAAATTAAGCGCCCCCCCCCCAAATCACGGCCTATAAAAAAACGGAAAAAAGGGGGGGGGGGGGGGCTTGCTGTTAGGAAGTACTTTTGTTGCACACCCGGATATGGTGCTGCCTGCGTTGACCCCGATACGAAGTGCCCCACCAACGCCGAGGTCAACATTCAAGCCATCGCCACCCGCCCGCCCAAAGATGCAAGGGGGGGGGGAATTAAGTCACCCCCGAAAAGACGGCCTAGCCATTTTTTCGGGGCTCAAAAAAAAAAAAAAAAAGACCCGACCTTATTATATGAGAAACACGGTAAATAAGTACAAAATTATGTATATACCGACATATATTATATGGCACAGAGAAACAACACAGTTCAGTTATACGTGTTTATGGCAACAAAAACAAATCTTGTGAGTTTACCAGACGGATGGCGTAGGGAACAAAGCTGTTACAGAATCTGGTACTCCTGCTGGAAATAGAATGAAAGAATGGTACAATTGCACAACTGGGCAGCCAAAACGGGGCTATTGGGTGAGTTGATCAGAGAGTCAGGAAATACACTATCGTGTGTAGTGTTCATTCAGTTCCTCCTATTCAATCGGCCTTAAAAGGTGGAGAAAATATGACGATAATTTAAGAGACGGCAACTTAGTCAGTACTAACTGATTGCTCAGGAATTGGACCTTTTTTTTGTTAAAATAAACGGCAACATCTCAACATACCCGACAGACAGTTTGGTCTAGTAATTAAGGCATTGGGCTAAAAATCAAGAGACCCTGAGTTCAAGTCTCTCCTTTCCTCTAAAAGCCATCTGGGTGACTTGGGGACCAGCCCCGTTCTCTCAGGTCAACCCCTCTGACAGGGTGGTGGTTGCAGGAAAAATTGGAGGAGGAAGGTCTGTTGGAGAAGTTCGCTGCCTTGAGTTATTTGTAAAAATAGTAAAGCCAGGTGATGGGTGGAGTTTAGACAGACAGACAGTGAGATTCATTAATTTTTTCCCCACTTTTGCTTTAATTTTGGGTCGGATTTAAAAGTGGGAAATGGAATACACACCTTTTTATTCTTATTTGCATCCTTCCTAAAATATCCAAAAACCTATTTCTAAATTTCTACTTTTTCAGGCAGTTTGGAAGGTCTGGGGAGGTGCTAAAGTTTCCCCTTCCTATTTCTGTCCTTAAAACCCCCAAACGAGGAAGCTGGCTGAAAGAGGTACCGCAAGTGGCGGTTTTAGGCTGTTTGTTCAGTTCTTCGGGGAGTCCTAAAGATAGGAATGGAAGCGGAGAGAGGTTTTCACTCTTGCCCATCATTTGGGATATACATATATTTCTCTGCGGACCTGGGTGCCATGACACCTGCTGCTAAGCAGCCTTTGACCAGCAGAGGCCGCAGTTGATTCAAAGCCGGTTGGTTCCATTGAGAAATGCTCTGCTATGTTTTCACCTTGTAGGAAGGAATCCTCAGGTATAACATCTCTTACGCCAAGAAATGGGACTTCACGGCCCTGGCCGAATTCTGCGATAAGGTAATAAGGGGAGAAAAAAAATATGACCCTGGAAACATGCAAACGCCCCACCCCTAATAATAATAATAATAATTCAAATGCTGCTTTCTAAAGTTGGATGTGATTTGAATGGTTATTTTTTTTTTCTCATTAATTCTATTTTATACGTACTTTTACTTGTAGTTAACTGAATGTGCCCAGCCGGGAATTCACAGAGGCTGGAGAGAAATGGGAAGGAAGGAATTCTATCTGTGTGTGTGTGTGTGTGTGTGTGTGTGTGTGTTATATGTATTTTAGGTACTTTGTGACCATACAGGTAGTCTTTGACTTACAACCACAACTGAGCCCAATGTTTTTTTTTTGTTAAGCGAGACAGTTGCTAAGTGAGTTTTGCCCCCACTTCATGACCTTTCTTTCCACAGTCGTTAAGTGAGTCACCGCAGTTGTTTAGCAGTAACACAGCAGTTCAGCGAATCCAGCTTCCCCATTGACTTTGCTGGTCAGGAGGTCGCAAAAGGGGGGAGCATGTGACCCCCCCTCCCTGGGGACATTGCGACCGTCATAAATATGAGCCGGCCTGAGTTTTGATCACGTGACCAGGGAGTGCTGGCGATGGTCGTAAGTGTGAAGAACGGTCACGTCCCGTTTTGTTTCAGTGCTGCTGCAGCTTTGAAGAGTTGCTAAAGGAACGATGGTCAATGGGGGACCCCCTGCACCCCCCCCCCCGGTTTCTCTCTCCAGTTAACCGTGGTCTTTTCCTCTCCTGGTGCCGTGGATGCATTTGCTCCCTCTGGGAATAGTGATGAGGGTTCATCCTTCAGGGCCCCTGTCCCGTAACTCTTCCCTGGTGGATGGGCAGATAGCCTGGCCCTGATTGCTCCAGGCGTAAAGAAAAGGTGGAAGAAGGCGAGGAGGGTCCCAGGCGCCGCCCTTTCAGGGGACTCTCCCGCCCAGCTCTGTCTCCGTCCCTGGCAGGACCACCCCCATCAGTGGGCTTACGGTTGAGTTGCTTGGCCCCTCCCTGGGGGAAGAAAGCAGCCACAGCCTCCCCACCGAGTACAGGCAGCTGTAAGGAGGCAACGGAGAGCACTCCCTGCCCTGCACTTTGGCTGCCTTGCCTGACCGGTGCTTTTCTGCCAAGGAGGTCGTCCAGATTAGTCTCAGAGCATAAACACCATCAGCAGAGAGTTGATTCCGGGAGCATATTTAGACAGAGCATCCAACTCTGGGTGTTTTCTATCCCCTGGCTTTCAACCATAAAAATATGAAAGGATTGGGGATTTGATAGCAATGAAATTGACCAGATCAATGAAGGCAATGCCACTAATCAAGGAGAGACGCAAGCTGGAGCTAAGGAGGAATTTTCCTGTCTGAGCAGGGAGGTTAAACTGGCCAGACCCAAATCCTGCAGCTGTTCTCCAGGCCCTTGATCTCCCTTAGTTGCTCTTCTGTGCCCTTTGCCCAAAGTCTCAACTCAGTCTTTGTAGTATGGTGACCAACATCGGCTGCAGTATTCCAGGGGTGGCCTTACTAAGGCTTTGTAAAGCGGCACTAATACTCCACGTGATGTTGATTCTGTGCCTCTGTTTATACAAGCCAGTATTGTATTGGCTTTTTTGGTGGAACCGGGCTGCTACGCTTGGCTGGCTCATATTCAAGGGAACCTCCGTTAAGACCCCAAGGTCCCTTTCACAGGGACTGTGTTTGAGAAGTAAAAACAGAAGAGGAGAGAGAGAGAGATTATGCAAGGAAACCGGAGCTGTTTTCTTGTGATGGCTTACGTTTTGCCCATCCCATTAATTAATGTTTCCTGCTTGCCGAGTCTTGATTTTTATGCACCGCTTGTTCTATCGCAGCTCACAACTCAGTCAGTTTGGAACTTCCAGGCAAGATTTGAGTTACGATTCTGGTTTACTTTTGCTGTTAGTTACAGTTCCGGTTATTTTGCTTTGCTGTTCACCTCATTAGTGTGAGCCCCCCAGAGAGCTTAGGCTATTGGGCTCTTTAGTTTTTCTTTCCATTATTTCATTAATTAACAAATTAGCAGGGGCTGCTCTCTGCAGGAGATTCTTGCTGTGTTGAAAATGACAAACTTTTTGGGACAGCCATGACCTGGGTGACTGAGAATCTCCAGAGACAATAAGTCCCCGTCTCTTTTCCAGTCCTTTCTAGCTGCTGGCCCTTTAGAGGTGCACAAAAATGCCACCTTTCTGATTTTTTTTGCCCCTCCTCTGATGTCTTGAGCCACAAAGCCCCTGCGTTGTTTTGAGACGTAACTAAGATACCCTGAATTTCATTTAAAGAGACTGTGTGTAAGAAGAAGACACAGCAGCAGCTCCCTCGTTTTTTCCCCCTTAATTTTCAAAAATCCGACAGAAGAGGGAGCCCTTGCCTTGCTCAGAGAATTTTGTTCCCCAATGCTACTTGCGAAAGGTTAAATTTATTTATTTATTCAATGTATTTATTTATTTATTTATTCAATGTATTGATAAATTAACTTTATCGGTCACCCTTCTTCATCACAGGGTAACTCTAAATTGACAGCATGGTTGAAACGCAAGTCCAAATATTGTTTTTGGTATCAATTTTTTAAATTAGTTTATCAAAATATAAATTACAAAGAACAATGAAAATAACGGGAATGGAAGGGAGGAAAAAAGAAAAGCGGGAAACGTGTAGGGGAATAGAGAATGAAACAAAGAAAAGCATTGACATTCCTCTCTTTTTAGTGCAGTAGAATAAGGAAATAACATACAACCTCAACGTTTTGTTTTTACATCACCATCACCATCATATATACTGGCCATTTCTCTAAAACCAATCCAATCAGCAGAACCTGAAGTCAAGCTTCCATTCCCCCCCCCCCAACCTGAAGCAAATAAAGTCCAGGCAGGTGCAGGTGCTTCGTAGATGTTTGGGTGGGGGCCACGTCCTGAGTGGGAAGCATCCGTTCACTGTGTGCCAGAATCCTCCTCTTTCCACCCCCGGTCTGGAGCCAAGGGCAGGTCCTGGGCCGGAGGAAGCTTTTCCTGGATTTCAGCCTCAAGATTTCCTTGAGTTCGTCACCCTTTTCTGGAGTCTCCTCCAGCCAGAGGTTTGTCCGTGATGAAAGGCCTCTGCTTGAGAAGGACGTTTCCTGGTGGCACCAAGAAAGGATGATGGAGGAGGAGGTGGCCCTGCGTGCCCTGCCCTGCGCTTGGCTTCCATCTCCACCTGGCAGCACCGCTGGGAACAAGGGAAGGGGCTCCATGGGGAAATGAGGCAGGCCGTGGGGAGAGAGACCAGGTGGCCCACTGAGCAGACTCTTGTCAGCAGCACGCCAGCCTCTTCTCCGCCACAGTCCTTGTCCATTCTCTGGAGCCCGGAGAGTCCGCCAGAGGTTCTGGGAGGAGGGAGGCCTCCGTGGCCCATTTCCCCCTCTCCGGCAGGCGGGAAGGCAGGCAGGCGCGCTCTCAGGAGGAGAGGCGTCCTCTGGGCAGCACCACAGGCAGAGGAGGAAGGAGGAGGAGGAGGCACGAAGGACGGCCTGCTTCCTCCCTCCCTCTCTCTTGTGCCAGCTGCCTTCCCCTTCTCCGGAAGGCTAAGAGTTCCTAGGGAGAGATATGGCCAAGATGCCTGTTGTAATGACTGTTTGAGCCTTTGGTGGGTGGACAGGCAGCCCTGGACCTTCAACGGTTCGTTTAGTGACTGTTTGAAGTTACAGCAGTGTTGAATAAAGTGACTTACGACCATTTTCCATACTTACGACAGTTGCAGCATCCCGGGGGGGGGTCACCTGATCAAAACCCCCACAACTGGGCAGCTGGCTCGTATTTATGACGGTCGCAGGCTGTTTGCCGGAGGGGGGGCACATGGTCCCCTTTTGCGACCTTCTGGCAGGCAGAGTCCATGGGGGTGGGGGAGCCAGATTCCCTTAAGTACCTTGTGACCGACTGCAGGAATTCGCTTAACAACTGCAGCAAGCAAGATTGTAAAATGGGGCAAAACTCACTCAACAACCGTCTCACTTAGCAACAGAAATGTTGGGGGGCTCAACTGTGGTCAAAGTCAGAGACTTACCTGTATTTAAAAATAGCCGCCTTATTTTAACCACCTTGTGGAACCCCTGAAGTTCCCTGAACTGCCCACTTGGGGAAGGGACCCGCCTGGAGGAAGAGCAGCCATCTTGCTGGCTGCTTGGCTTGGCGTTTTAGGAAGGCCTGAGACGAACCCCAAAGAGAGGCCCGCGGTCGCGCAATTGGTGAACGGCGCCGGCTGTGCTGTGTTTCAGGGAAAGATGGAAATTGAGCAAGGAACTCTGCACGGGTTCCTCCGTGCTCTTTTGAAAAGCAGCAAAACCTTCCCTTTCACGCCACGTAAGAAAGAGAGGAACTTGGTATTGCTCGGTCTCTGTTTCAAACGATGGAAGGCATTAAAAGGCGGCCTCACACGTCAAGCGCGATGCACCTGAGAGATCGTTGTCATGCTGGATTGGCAGGAGAAATATTTTACCTTCTGGAAAGAGAAATTGGAGAGAGCCAAATTAATTTACTCACATCTAAGCTGTCCTTTTCTTTTCTTTCCTTTTCTTTTCCGAGTGTCAGGTTACGAGTCTGATAAATGTCAAATGTTCCCTTTCGCTGCTTTCTAATGAGGCTCTTCTCTGTATTCTCCA